AAAGAGAGGTAATTATTTGAATATTACTTCTTTAGATTTGAAACCTATCCTTACTATGCCATTGAATTTGATAGGTTTTGCAAAGTTGTGTAACATAGTGGAATTTAATTATCGCACGATGATATTTACCAATTGGCAGAAATCACTGATTCTCTAAGGGAAAATAAAAGGTTTGGCTATTATTTAATATACGATCGATTATTATTATCCATCAGATAGGCAGCTTTGACTTAAGAGGAAATTGAAGAAGTAAAGGGTCAATATAATACTGATGAGAAAGAAGCTGATTAAGACTTGATTATTTACACAAGAGGCATATCAAGATAAAAGCAAGAAATGGAACATAACTTCAGTTTCTTTGAATAGTTGACAGTGTTGGTAGGATCAGAGAATGAAGCATTCAAGTACAATATCAATTATCTTTTGGCTTACTTTGTAAACAATGATGAATTTGTGTAAAAATTAACAGCAGTCTATGTTCACAAAGAAACAGGACAGGAAGTAGAAATCGAAGGAGTTGATCTATTCTCTTATGATCAAGATAAGATTTTCTAATAGAAACTTAATATTTCTGAAGAAACTTAACCTAAGTATTTCAGAGTTCATTACAATGGTGAAAATATGGCTATGATATCGTTCAAAACACATGAAGCTGAAGAGACATTTAGAATCGACAAAACATTTTCTTACAGAGAAGGATAGGATGCAACTGGTTAATTGGAGACCTATGCTTTTGAGTAATTAAGGTTGGCTGGATTCAGAGGTAGAATAGTCAAGAAAGATGAGTATTCTCAAATAATCATGTTAGCTGCTGAATATCTTTAAAAGGATCCGAAAGTAGAAGAACAAAAAAGAAACCAACCAGAAACATTGCCATAATTACCAGAAAATTGGAATCAAGGGAAATTCCAACTCATCATTAATAGATGTTCTGATTGTGAAAAACATAAGACAACTACTTGGCATAATGAGGCTGATTTCGCCAATAAATTTAATGAAATTGGATAAATTTTAAAAGATTTATTCCCAAACATAGAAGTAATAGGAAATTGGGATAAAACACAACAATTAGAGCATTTTGATGTTTATATTAGAGGAGTGGGCTAATTAAGTTAGATGGATAAAGAAGGGAGAGTATTTTTGTTTAGAAAGAACGAAAAGTTGGCTAAATTCTTGGATTGCTTCTTGAAGAGAATGTTAAAGGTCTATGATGATATTGTATTAATTGCTTAGGCCTATGGAGATACAAACTATCTGGCAAACAAATAGGAATAGTTCTTAAGAACCAATAATTACTCATAAAGATCTAAGATAGCTCATGATCACCCATGCAATATACCTGACAAATAAGAGAAATCAGAAAAGGGAGAAGCCTAATATGCTGGTTCTGATTTCATTTGTAAGAATTGGGGTTGTGGATAACCATATAAATTTGATTCAACTCCGAATGGTATTAAAACATGTAAACATCACCCTGGTAGATATGAATTCGGATCTAAACATGGATTATGGCCAGAATGTTGGACATGTTGCGGTAAAAAGTGGGAAGCTGAGGGCTGTAAATTAGAATATCACAAGGGTGTTCCTGAAAAAGACTTATATAATATTTGTATCAATGTAGGTCCCTTGGATCCAAGAACTGGTTATCCTGAAGGCACTTGTGGAATGAGATTCTAAGATGGGGATTCTTCAGAATGTAAATATAACTCTGGAACTCATCAAGCTGCCAAATGGCCTGATCCTGCAGCCAAAGTCTATTTTGTACAAAAAATTACACATTGTAATTATAATTTGTTAATATATATATAGAATCCTGCTTAGAAAGAAAAGGAGACTCAGCCAAATAAAAACATTCAAATTAGACCAGATGTATTCAGAGAGACTAAACCTTATAATGAGTTTATTAATAAGGATAGATAGAGATAAATGAAATTGATTGAGACTGAGAAGGAATTAAGAATATGTACAAATTGGGCATGTGGAAAACAATATAGAGAGATTGAAAATAGAAAAAAGAATATGTGTAGATGTCACCCAGGAGTGTTTGATTTTGGACACACTGCTACTAAAATTTAAGAAGCTATTGAAGAATATAAATAAGAAAAAGGATCCAAAATTCTATGGAAACCTCAGTAAATATGATCTCTATTTAAATTAGTTGGACTTGTTGTCGTAAATCTTGGAATGAACCAGGATGTCTTTTATCAAAACACTCAGGACCTTTAGTTATTGAATATAAGGCAAATAAATACTAGTGGCCAGATCCAAAAGCTTAAATCTATTTTAAAAAGAAGGTATCAGATATATTGGAAAAAAATGCTTGAATAAAGTCATAGTCTGACACCTGAAACAGCCAGTTTGAAATATGATCTATTGTGCAAGACTTTAGGATCTGGAGGAGTAAAAATATTTAATATTCTCTTAGTAAATTTCTGTTTATAAACTGCCTGAATTATGTGATAAATTCGAACTTAATCTTTGGGTTTGTAGTGAAGACTTGGCATTTTAATTTAAATTTACAGATATCATGGAAGGTAGAGCTCAGGAATATTTGGCAGACACAAGTGGAAATATTGATAAACATAAATTCTTAGATTGGTGGTTTGCTGATGTCAATAGGATGTTAGAAATTTCATCAAAATGATTTATTATGCATATAAAATAAGAAATATATATATGATTAATATATCATTTTGTATCTTTGAAGTTCAATTTTGATGCTAAGCAATAACTTTGCAGTTTTATCATTTTAGCTTATTATTAGATGAAGATTTTAGGTGTGAATTTATGAGTTTGCACATCATAATATGAAAAACTAGAACAATTAATTTATAATCGTAAAGGAATGTGAGAAGATTAAGAGAATTTCAAATAAGATTAACAATTTTATTTTTATATATGTTTTAGGATTAGTGGTGTTATAAACAGAAGAACATAAATTTAATAATTATAATCGTTAAAAAATGCACAACGCTGTGATTACTATTCCTTAACATGGAAATGGCAGACTCTATAAAACTTCAATTTGCAGACACTTTGAATTAGGTAACTGCTCAATTGGAGAGAAATGTCAATTTGCACATGGCTAAAAAGAATTGAGAAATCCCCAATGGTATTATCAAGATTTTACTCTAGATCCAATATTGGGTAAGATACCAACCATCGATTCGAATATAGTTATCACAAATTATAAGAGTACCAATTAATTAATATATTACAGCTGTGTTATGCAAATATGATTAATAAGGATTTTGTAAGAATGGAGTGAATTGTCCATATGCTCATGGAACTAATGAAAAGAAACAAGCTCGATTGGCTCCTGTGTAGTTGAAACAAATGTAAGAAAACAAAGAGAATGGTGATGATGAAAATGTTGTTAAATTTCTGAATTAATTGACTGATAAATTAATGAAAACTGATGCTTTTAAAAATGACAAGGTATTTTATTTGAAACTATCTAAAAAGCAAGTTTTAGGTTAACTAAAACAAACTCAAGTAATGATCGAAGAAAAGCACCATAGAGATGCAGCTGAATAGTTATCATTAGTTTTATCTTCTCCCTCAAGATCCTCCAAGTAATAAAAGGCTTATGAAACAGTATACAAATCTTTAACATTGAATTGAATTGAAATATTTATAAATATCTATTTAATTTACATCTTCTATATTAATCTTAAAGATATAAAACTTAGATCAAATTATCATTATTAATTAACATTGAAATAATTATATATATAATATTAACAACATCTTCAAAGAGATAAAAATTCTTTATTCTAGAGTAGCTTCTCTACGTCATCCATCTGCTTTGCATCACCTTTAATCATAATCAAATTTAAAATATCAGCTATTCGCTATTTCTAAGACATAATCTGTTCTTGAGCCTTCATCAATTCTTGGTCACTGAATTCTGCTATATTCTTAAATTAATGAATTCGATTACTTTTTAGATTTCTAATTGCTTTGTTAAAGCTTCAATTAGAACCTTATCCTTATTCTACTCGATTTCTAAACGAATCATTTAAATCAATACTTAATGAAGCATTTTCGTATTTCAAATTTTCGCCTTGGTTATCCAGATCATCTCCTCTAAAACTAGACCCTTTGAAATTAGTTTCTTACTAATATATGGAATTCTATTTAGATTGCCTAATGTAAATATGAAACTTACTAGAAAGATGATTGCTATTCATTTTGTGTTTGAGACATCATTTATCTTAGGTATTAATTGTCACTTTATAGTTTCTCGATATCCTCTGAAAGATCATTCACTTTTTTATTTAATTTTTGCTCTATTTCCTGTTTCAATTCAGATTCCGATTACAATTCCTATTCTAAAACTTAAATTTATTTTTTCATTTCTTTGATGCCTTCTTCCTAATCCAAAATTTCTTATTCTTTCTTTTTTATAACCTATTTATAACCATCAATAATATCTCCTATGTTATCTTTATTATTCAAAGCTTAGGTTCTGATAATATCTTATTTCTTTTCTTCAAGTTGTTCCTTCAATTTTGTAATCTCATCTTCCAAAGATTATATTATTTGATTGAAATTGCCAATTTATTTTTTTTAATTTAAATTTTCTTTTTCTAATTCCTAATACTAGATTTTAAGCAATTCTAGTTCTTCTTTTGAACGAATAGCATTAAATTCTTAGCTTTCTAATTATGCCTTCAATTAATTAATGAGTTGACTATCTGATTTGATGTTTAATTAAGCATAGCCTTCAGATCCTTATTAAGTTTAACTATTTTGTTTTAATTCTATTTTCATCTACATGGCATCATTCTAAACTTTTTCTATTTCTTAATTTATCAACAGTAAATTGTTTTTTAGATTATATATTTCTATTTGATTCTTTTCTTTCTCCTTTTACAATTGATTCACATTGTATTAACTCTAATCTAGTTGAGATTTAAGCATATTATTGTCTCTTTACAGAAACTCAAGTTCCTTTTTGACTATTTCTTGATTAAATGCAGATTAATTATTCTATTCATTATTGCCATTAATTAGTTGTTACTATTGCAAAAAAGCAATTTATTTTTAATACTACTAATTTTACAGACCCACTTATGTATACTCGTCCTTCAATTAATTATAAGTGGTTGATAAGAGTGAAAATTCAATACATGAATTTTAATATTTGTCTTTTAAGTCTAAATATTTTTTCATTAACTCATCATACTTATCAGAGTTATTTGAATAATTATTGAACTAATTATTATTGATCAGATCCTCTTATTGTTGTGTTTTACTTCTTTAGGATAATTACTATTGCAATTCTTTGGGTTTTGGTGAACCCTTTTGGAAATCCAAATTGCTAACATTTTATTTGATTCCTTGCTTGGAGGTTTAAGGATCGTTTAGAGATTTAATTAACTAATCAGAAACCTAATATTATTGAGTGGGAGGTTAGATTTGACTATTGTACATAAATTGATAATCTTTGGAGTCTTTTTGTTCTACAAAGGATTGATAATGGAGCGATCTTTATTTGATTCCTTTTTCAGATTGACTATTGGTATGCTCTTCATTTGAACCGTTTCTATAATCATCACATTAACGTTATTTTAATTTTTAATTTAATTTGGAAGAATATTTTTTTTTCTCCTCTTCTTTATTATCATTATTCATTTATTATAATTGCTTGTCTACCTTACTTAATTTTTCGTTTATCATTCTTAATTCATAATCTTATTGTCTTTGAGAATTCAAAGTATTGGTAGGACTTTGAAATTTTTTATTTGTCTTTGTAGGTGTGCCAAATCTCTTTGGAGGAGAAACAACCCTCACCTAAGCATCTGGCTTTCTTAATGTATCAGACCAATTGTAATTGCAATCATCAACGATTACCACTTTTTGTGGATGCTTTGGTTCCTTTAATTTTCGTTCCAACTGATTTTTTAAGTATTCTTTATGATCCTTCCACTGAGAATACGTTACATGAGTAGTCCTCTTTTCATTTTCATCTCCAATTTTCTTTGATTAAGCCAACCTTTTGGGGCTTTATCCAACATTTCGCTGCGTGTTTTAAGGACTATTGCCTGAAAGATAAGGGTTAATGATTTTAGGATTGTTATCTGCAGGTTTTTCAATGAATTACCATTCAAACATGAATGTTAATTGAGCTTCTTCATTCTGTTCGCTCTAAATGGATAGTTTATCGGACAACTATTAGAATTTGTTCTCAATATAAAAGTCCAGATCAAAGACAGCCTCTCCGAATTTGCTTTGATTTTCGAAAAAGATTAATTTAAGCTTGCATAATGAGTGAAAATTACCTTTTTCTTGTTCTTTGGATCATAAGGCGTTCTGATTTCAGCCTTCTCATAAATATCCTATTGTTCATAGCATTTGCATTTAAGTTAACTATTCAGCATCACTGCAGTAACAGCTACATTCAATCAAACATATTACAATCATTTAGTTGCATATGGCAATAAGTAATGGGTGAATCTATATAAAAATAAACAGTCTGCACCTCAACATTAATTTAGAGCATTCTGACTATAAATTTTATTTATAATAATAATTTATTTCGTTATTTTTAATTTATCACATTATACTCTATCAAGACACAATTACAAATACATTCATTTAATTATATTAACAAATCACAATTCAGTTAAGTGCATCTAATTAATTTTGCATCTCCTCGCGTATCAAATCTATTTCCTTTTATTAAAAGTAATTCCACGTTCTCAAAGAGTAAGGTCCAATACCATACAAGGTATTGCATTAATGATCCAACAGTATCTTCTGAACTTGGAAATTAGGAATCGTTAACTCATCACAGTATTTCAATTTTGAAGTGACGTTATCATAAATTTTAATGATGGAATCATTTTATTCTTAATGTAAAAACAGAATCTCCTACGTTTCTTTAGCGACAATCATATCCATGGGCTCACTTTATAACTCTTTATGAAACAGAACTTCATTCTTTTGTGCATTCCAAAGTAAACATCTATTGGAATTCTACTTAGCATAAATGATATTGTTCGAGTTTCCAGGACTAAACAATGCCTTCAAAGCCTACTATCCATTTTATTAGAAACTGAATTGAGCAACAGTTGGATTTCTCATATCCAAATGGATAAATCCATCTGTCATAGTCACCAAAACATTATAATCATTTACATCAATATATTTAATTTCTTAGGACTCCTACCTATTTGAATCTTACAATTATTCAAAAGTTGGGAATTGTTCATTAAAATCATCCTTGATTGAATCCTACTCCTCATCTAATCTGAAATTCGTTTCGTTTAATAGGTTAGGGTCAATGGGATTTATTTGAGGACTTTCAATTATCGCAGATCCAAGTCTAGGTATGAGTGGTGACAGTATAGATTTGGCTTCAATTACATTTGATTGCAACTTCTTAATTGTTAATGATAAGCACTGTCTTTCATTCATCCTTTCATCTAGAATCAATAACTCCTTAAATCAATAAATAAATCACTTACATTATTTTTTGTTCCTACATATATATTGTTTAATGATTAGGTTATGAATGTTGGTAGAGAATGCTCCTACAAGTTGCAATTATATTGATTGTTTAATCCATAATAATGATAAGCTTAATTCTTAAAGAAATTCCATCCCATGATATTACCTCTATCAGAACCAGTGATCAACATGTCTTTGGAGATATTTTAGTCGCATATGCACAATGATATAAAATTTGAATCGCTCTCATGAATATCACAGATTTTCTCACATTTAAAAGTGTCATTTATCAATTCTAACCTTGTCAAATGATTTCCATTATTAATTATTATCCCATTTTAGTCTTTTAAAGAAATAAAATTATTTTTAGTTTTTTAGCTTTAAGCATAGGTTCCATCAAATGCTGAAAAATATTGGATGTTCTATAATCTTAATATTAAATTACTTTTCTAATTATCCTCAACTCATCCATCAGTGAATTAAACTTCTTGTTTACCTTCGTATCCAACTTCTTTTCCTACCCTGCCAAATTTGATATGTAACTAGGAGCAATAGGTTTAGATGGTGATTCATCTGAAGATAAAATATGAATAGGCTTCTAATATTTTTATTTTGCTTTCTCTAAAAATCTCTCAAGCTTCTATATTTTTTTCAAACTCTCCTCTGTATATTTTGATTGTTTTATCAATGCTTCCGAAAATGAAACTGGTTCTACTTGTCCACTATTGAATTATTTAGTTCCCTTGAAGAGTTACCCATTAATTGGTGTTTTAGAAAGCACTTCATCTTTTTCCTAATTGATTATTACAATCTCTTACGATTTCTTGAAATGGAACTGCCATCCTTCTGGGTGTGTTAAACATTATATTCTATTGATTATAGACTGAATTTTTGTTGAGTTTTGCTGAAATAGTTTAAGCATGTGTGAAGCTTTAAAATTGAAATGCATTGGGAGTAGGAGATTCATCACAAGAGAATTCTGAAATTACAGAGGTTGTAGAAGACTTGGGTACGTTTAACTTAAACTTGACAGAATTGTTTTTCATTTTAATTTATCTTTGTTCAAAACTAAAATCAGCTTTGTTTCTTTGAACTGAAATAGTTCAATTTTCACTAAGTTTGAATTAAATTAAATATCAATATTATTGTTACTAAAATATTTAAATTTACTACAGATGAAGTAGTCTGCAATATTTGCTCTTTCACACAGATTACCATTAAAGAATAATAGCTTGGGTTAATTGTATAATCATTGATCATATTAATAATTAAATTCAGAGGCATTTAATAATCTCATCCTTACATGTGTTTAGATTATATATAAATTAGTTAACTACATTTTGAGTCATTGTTTTTTGTTAAATAATTATAGATGTGATAAAGCAATCATTCCTTCACTTCTGTAAATTCCATTAGATTCATCCCTTTGATTTGAGTTGTATATAATATATATTTTTTAAATAAATTTAATTTAAATATGTTGCTTAGATTTATAACCACAACCCATGAATTAAATTGGGCCTCACTATATTATTTCACAAAACACACTAGACCCAAAGCTTAACCTCATAGAGAGAAGACAAGAGCCAAAGCAATTAGTGATGATAAATCAGGAAAAATTGCCAAATCAGATCAAGAACAAGAATAAAAATAATAATAAGAAAATCTCAAGAAGAAAATAGAATTAGAAAAATTAAGAGCATTATAACCAAAGATGCATACCTGGAGTTCATTTTATGAAACGCATATTCCTTAAACCAAAAAAGTACCAAAAACAATTTATCTTTCCTTAAATGAGTAACCTGAAGGAAGAAGAAAGCATTACAAAAAGTTTGACTAACCTCCAGTTGATATTACCGAAGAATGCAATTAAAAATTTGAAATTAAATAGCATACTTATGAGGACCCCTTTGCTTCACCAAAAAGAGCAGGATTGATTGCTGTTAAAGTCGGCATGACTGCCTAATGGGATAAATGGGGTTACAGACATGCATTAACCGTCCTGCAATTAGATAATAATTAAGTTGTTTAAGTAGTTAAAAATGACACCTATACTGGCTTGTAGATAGGCGCAGGAAGAGTCAATATTAAAACCCTAAAAAAACCCCAAATAGGTCATTTCCTTAAAGCAAATGTAAATCTTAGGAGCTATAATAGATACCTCCAAAAAAATATATCAAGGAATTCCCTATTACACCTGAAAACACATTGCCAGTCGGCTTTATGTTGACAGCAAGACATTTTACTCCAGGGTAGTACATTGACATTTAAGGTATTTCAACAGGAAAAGGTAAAACAATGTTTTGAATTATTTTTTTAGGATTTGGAGGTACTGTCAAAAGACACAATTTTAAAACACAACCAGCAACTCATGGTAACTCATTGTGTCACAGACAATTGGGAAGTACTGGTTAAAGACAAGATCCAGGTCGAGTTTTTAAGGGAAAGAAGATGCCTGGTCATCTAGGAAATGATAAAGTGACATGTGAAGGCATTTAAGTAATTTTGAATATCATTTAATAAGATTTACAGAATAGATGCAGTTCGATAATTAATATACATTAAAGGTTCAGTTCCAGGAAAACCAGGTTCAATCGTGTATTTAAGGGATTCTTGGAAGGCTTAAAAGAAAAACAAAGAATTACTTAACTTTCCAACTTTGGCTGTTGAGAATGGAAAGGAATATGCTAAGGAAATTGTAATGGAAGCTCCATTAGAAGATCCTGAAATGGAGGAAACTCATGAGAACGATTTCCCAAAGGCTGGAGAAGATGCAGAGGATTGATATAAATAATAAGGGTATATAATAATATTAAATAAAAAAATAAATAACAAGTCACCATTTTCATTTTTAATTTTTTAATCTAATACACAGCTTTTTCTTTTTCGACTCCATTCTTGATACTTAATCGTCATCTATGTCCATTTTTTATTATATTTCTTAAATACTATTTTGATCTAAATTTGATAAATTAATATTCTGAAAATTTGAAATGTCTAATTATTTTTGTGAGTTTTTATTAGAATTTTTATTCTATTATTCTTGAGGCTTATAATTCATCTGATAACTTTGTAGATTGATATACTCATTTTGTTATTATTATTCATTCAAATTTTTCACCCTTTCTTGGGTTTCATCTTTTAACTTTTCAAAATCGTTTTTATTTTGCAAACCAAAAAATTGGAGTTTTCTTTTTTTGCAATCTTGTTCTTGAATAGGCTTTTATTCAATTTGCTCTTTGATACATTATTCTTTAATAGAGATTGTTCTATTATAAAATTCTTTCGTTTGCTTGATCACCTCATCATCATTGACCCAAGGTTAGATGGCTGGCTGTGCCCATTTTGATAGCCCTTATTTTATATCTCTATATTCAAATCTCTTATCGCATAGATAAACAATACTTAATAATATTATTATATTTTTACCCATAATCATTTATGTGTCGAATAACTCTTCCCATGGCTTGATTAGTAGCACGAATGGCCTATTGAGTATACCACTCAGAGCTCTTTATTCGTTATTAATTAGTAAATTCTGGATCATTAAAGATTTTATCCAAGTAGCCCATTTTCTCTAGTAGATGATTGTCTTATTTAGGAGGATAGGGAACCCCAACTAAAAATATAGCTCTACATAATTCATCAGAGAAATCAATTCCTTCAGCAACCTTTCCTCTATGGACTGCAAACATGATGGCACCTTTCTTAGACTTTTATTTGTATAGATCAAAAACGTTCTGCATTTCTGCACTTTGCTATGGTTCCCATAAGCAGGCTTTGATTTCACATAACCTAGGTAATAATTTATTATATGTCCATTTGCTTCTGAATTTATTCATGAGACTATAGGATGAGAAAATAACAAGAATTCCATTGGGAATAATCTAACTTAAGCTTAATAATGTAACACCAAATTTGCTGACTTATTCCTCGTTGTTTCTTTAATTGAATGAAAAATCAAAAGTTTTATGTTAGAAAACTCTAAGATTTTTATTGAGGTCAATTATATGCTCATTAACTAGTTAAACTTCAAAAGGTATTCTTAATTCACAAGCCCATGATGGCATTGGGGACAGTGTACCAGATGTCAACAAGATTGAGTATATACTTTTACTGAATAGCCTAGAAAAGGCAAGGGAGGGTTCAAGACACCACATATTAATGGATAACTAATTAGATTAGTCAAGAATGAAAGACAATTTGTATTGATTAAACTCGTTTTATAAAGAGTTTAATGATAATTTTTATTTCTCTCTTTCATCTTCAACCTTGATTAGATCAAAAACATTTTTCATAAACTTAACCCATGATTCAAAATGATAACCTGGAATCTGAGATAATTCACCCATAACTTCAATCAAAACAGAACAATGAATCAGATATTTAGCAAAATTATTTTTATTGACTCCTTTTGCATAATTAGTCTAGGAATTCTCAGACCACAATCTAAATGTGTTTTCTTTGTCTTGAGTGTGTTCAAAAATCATATTTTATATTCTTCGAGCATCTGAAATTAAATATTTCTCATCCTTATCAGAAATGACAAATTCTGGATTATTTTTGAATGATTCAATATATTAAGCAAATACTCTAATTGTAATCATGATCGATCTGAATTCCTTTAATTCAGTCGGTACTTTAGCTGAATTTAATTTAGCTTTTAATTGATCATAAAAGATCGAGACTGATTCCAACTCATCAATCCACTTTTCAAGATCTTTTTCAGCTTCTATTATATTGTTATGAGTGATAAGAAATGAAGAACCTTCTTCAGCTGTCGACTACACATTATGTGCTTCATCAAAAATCAAAATGGAATTTTCAATTTCAACAACATCTTAAAAGTCTTTCTCTAAGAGGTAATTATATGGAAGCAATATGAGGTCTGCAAAATCCAATCTTTATCTCTCGAAATAATAAGGGCACAATTTATTTTTAAATCCAAATTATTTTGCTTCATCTAGACTACTTATCAATGTACTATAATTTTGAGCCATAAGTATGAGATGTTCTTTTTTATAAAATTGACATTAATTTGACTTGACTGATTTTCGGCAACTTTAATTTAACAAAGTCCCTTTAATCGCACTAAAATCACCTCTTATACAATATTAATCCCTTGATCCAAGCATAGAAACATTAGGTTTATAGACGGTCTTCTTCAACTCCATAGCCACTTATTTTAATTGAGCATGGGTTCTTGAAGAATAGATAATTTTAATATTCTTAGGCTGATCAGAATTTAATTGATCTTTTCTATTCTTTTTTAACCATGCCAAAGAAGCACAAAGCAAAGATAAAGTTTTGCCTGTCCCTGTTGGGGATTCCAATCTAATCTTTATTGATTTTAATAATATACAATGCATTTTATTTCTTATTTAACGCTCTTATCACACTTTCCATATAACTCTTTTAAACATCATATGGCTAATGAGGAAAATACACAGGAGTATTATCCAATACAAGTGAAGCTTGTTTCTTACACATGTTTCCATCTATTTCAATTTCCTTGACCATCATCTTATGGGTGCGTTCAGACTCCTCATCCAACAGTTGATGATGCTGAGCTTGCTTAGTAGCGAAGTATTATTGCAGTCCGAATGGAGTTTTCATTTTTGTAATTTTTGGAATCAAATTTGGTTCAAAAATTATTTTTAATTGAAATAACAATTACAATTTAAAATTAAGAATTAAGCGCTCCTAAATTCTCAGAAATCAATTGTATATGACAGTTTTTCAAATATTTAGAATTGGTAGGTTGGGAATGGAAGGACTTCAATTCTAAAAGTAAAAAGTAATAATCCGAAGAATTATACCAAAAATATCATTGGCACTGATTTATTAAACATGGGAGGACTTTTCAAAGCAATATTCATGAATGCTAACCATCTTATTAGCAAATTTAACTGTTTAAATTATACTCCAATAAATCTGAAAATCTATTTAATTAGAGTAATCTTTATTAGATTATTTAGAGTAATAGGAATAGAAAAGATAAATACTTTTGAATAAAGTAAATTAATTCAAGAAAGATAATTGAATACTACCAATAGAAATACGCACTGCAAGTAATGGTTAAGAATCTCCTATTGGAGACACTCTCATTATATATTGACTAAAGGATTATTTGAGCAATATATTTTGAGTTCTAAAGCAATCAACCTAACAAAAATTTGAAAGTAGCAAAATTGATATAGGTTTTCCAGGAATTTTAATTTAATTGATTATAAATTAATATATACTCAATATTAAATGACTAACTTGAAGTTGTTCTAAGTGACTGGCTATCAAAATGAAATTATTGTATAAAAATATCCCTATTACTAGATTAAATCAGAATTACCATACATAACCACCTACCTAAAGTTTCATCGATTTTCATAAATCATTGAAGAATCACCAAAATTTTAGGAATAGGAAGGAAATATCAAAGGAGATAAAAGATGCTCATACATCTTAGGAGTCTTTAAGACTTATAATAAATCATTCATAGTGATTGTTGATGAATGCACAAAAGTTGCAACAATTCAGGATCAAATTATATATCACATTGATCAAGTGTCCTACTTTGCCATCGATGTAAAACAAACATTTAATTAGAGGACTATAATCCTAATAACAATAAAGATATTTTGGAAAGCATAAACAATCAAAAAAAACTATTGTAATCAGGATTCTACTTCTCGCTCTATGGAGATATAACTCTTGCAAGACATTTTTAAAAGTATGAAAATAGTTTTGTTTGGAATAATAAACTCCTAAGCTCTTTTAGAGAGAATAAGATTTCCTCTAGTTGGCAATTGCCTATGATCTAGGGTTATGTTGAATAAATAGATTCCTAAATTGATAAATAGCCAGTTACAGTAGTTTTGATTTCCAGAAGAAGCAGATTTATGGGAGGAACTCGCTATTACTCAAGAGGAGTAAATGATGATGGCCATGTGGCTAATTTTGTTGAAACAGAGCAAATAATTATCTCAGGTTCAATTTTAATAAGTTTTGTTGTTATAAGAGGATCAGTTCCTTTATTTTGGAATTAAGATGGTGTTAATAGTATAAAACTAACTAGATCAAAAGAATTAACATAATCTGCGTTTAGCAAACATTTTAATCTTTTAAGAAGATATGGCAAAATATTTTGCATTAATTTAATGTAAAATAGTAGATAATTAGAATAAGTATTAACAGAAAACTTTTACTATCAACTCTAAAAGGCTAAATTAGATCATGTTAATTATTAATCTGTTGATTTTCATTCTTTAGTTAAAAATGGTAAGTCTTCTGGAGTTAATTCCTACATATATTAATATGATTAAACTTTGGAAAAATTTTAGTGCTATTTTGAAAAAGATAGACAAATGATAAAAAAATAAAATGGAGTCTTTCGAATCAATTGTTTGGATTGCTTGGATAGAACAAATTTATTTATGAGTAAGCTTTGTCTTTATAGTTTGGAGCGAGCTTTAAGAAATTTAAATCTATAATTAAGTGGTAATAATGATATCCTTAATTCTTTTGATGAGAACAATAAAAAATTATTACATGATCTAATCATAAAATATAAGATTATGTGGGCTAATAATGGAGATATGTTGAGTTTCATTTATTCAGGATCAGGAAGTACTGTATCAGAGATGGCGAGAGAGGGAAAAAGAGGTTTTATGGGAATGCTCAAAGATGGATACAATAACATCGAGAGATTTTATAATCGCCAATTTGAAGATGATGCTAAACAAAATACTATAAACTAATTATTGTATCAGTCAACATCATAAACTCATTTTGATAGTTGGATTGCTCAGTAAGAGAAGCAATTCTGCACATTTAGTGAAATTTCAATTTTATTAATTACATGGAATGTTGGTGGTAATACTCCGATAACAAAAGACTTTTTATAAAATATATTACATTTTCAAGAACAATCTAATCCAGATGTTATTGTCTTTGGTTTATAAGAAATTGTTGATTTGAATCCATAAAATATTGTGATTATGAGCAACGAAAAAACCCTTTAGTTGTGGAATTAATTGATTCAATCTAACTTGTCAAAAATAGATTCCTATACAAAAATAGGAAATAGTGATTTAGTTGGTTTATATTTAGCAATTTTTGTGAAAACAAATTAAATCTCAAGAATAACATAAATTGATACAGATGCTATTAAAACTGGTTTGGGTGGCACGTTGGGTAATAAAGGAGGTGTTTCGGTGAAATTTAATTTTGATGATTCTCTAGTAAATATGTTGTTTATCAATTATTTTAGTTAGGATTTACTTGTTGTCATCTTACATCTGGTAATAAATAATGTCAATAAAGATTATCAGACATAGATGAGATTCATCAAAAAGCCTTTTAAAATTCTAAATAGAAGATTAGTTTAAAGAACCTCGATTATTCATTTTTTTTCGGTGATATGAATTTCAGAATTGAATTGTCATATTAAGAAGTTATTGAACAAATTAAGAATTATCAATAATTAATTTCAGAAGATCCAAATAGCCAGAAAGCAAAAAGAAAATTAGCCCATTTATTGAATTTCGATCAACTTGGAAAAAACAAAAATAAAAATTAACACCTTCAAAACTATCATGAAGGTAGCATCAATTTTTTACCAACCTATAAATATGATAAAAACTGTCAAATTTATGATACTTCAACAAAATTAAGAATACCTTCTTGGTGTGATAGAATTTTAGTTAATTGCAAAGAGGAATTGATTTGTTCATAACGTTATTATTAAAGAAATGAATGCTTAGATAGCGATCATCGGCCTGTATCTAGTTATTATGTTATTGAAATCAAAAAAATAGATAAAGAAAAGTTAGAATCTGTAAAATCTCTATATTGCTTATCATAAATGTAGAATTTTAAGTCTCCCCCACCTAACTTTGATGTTTCAACAAAACCTTTTCCAACTAAATAATTTTAACAACCTCAATAACCTTAATAATATGGTAACTATTAAGATCTCTCATAAGAATCATAGAATGATTAATAAAGAAACTAACAATAACTTAATTTAACTCCATAACACTAATAATAGATTTAAAACACTTAAGATTTTTTGAAAAATAATTAAGATAAATAATAATAGTATTCTTAATAACATTAAGGCTTCGAATAATATACTTTTGAATAGATGTTATAGTAATAAAAATCTGCCTAATAACAATCAAATTAACATAAGCTTGATTTATAATGAATTGTATTTTATTATCCAATAATTGAAATAATTTTTGAGTCTTTTAGTTTGGTATTCAATAGGTATATAAATTATTTAATAAATAACTGTTTATAAATTATCATATTATAAATATAAAATGATTTCATAAATTTTTCTCTGAATTTGAAGATACTTAACTTCCAATCAAATTGGCCATTCCTGAATTCATTATTTTCATAGTCATCTAAGCTTTTTCTTTCTTTAATTTTGTAACTTAATCTGATAAACACTTGTTTTACTCATTTAAACTTAAATATTCTTTATTTAAATCTATTTTTTCTTGCTTTAAACTTGTATTTTATTTCTGTAGGGAGTCAATTTATTATTAAAGGGCAATAATCTTATTGTTCAAATTATCACTTATTTGCTAATTTTCCCTTTTGAGCTAATTAATCGTTTATAAATTATTATTGTTTTAATCTTGAAGTGATTAGATTTAACTTTCATATTTTTAAGTCTATTATATTTTCTCCTTTTTTATTTGATTTAATTATTCTTATAAATTTAAATTTGCTTCTTATAATTTGTAAAGGTCACCTTAGCTATTTGGCTAAGAGATAGGTTTATCGTTTTTCTAACCAGCAAGTTCCTCTTCTAAATTTTAATTGATCTCATTCAATCTTGATATGTCATCTTCAGTTGCTAGTAATTATTATTCTAAATTTTTTATCTTTTATTAGTAAATTGAAAGCTATTTGTTATTAATTTTTATTTAATCATCATATGTCCCAATTCTTAATTCTAGTTCCTTTATTTTATTTTCATAATATTTTTACATTGAGACAGTTTAATTTTCTGTCTCCTCCACTGTTTTTTATTTTAACTCAAAATCTTTAGTTTTAAGTTAATTTTCTTTTAGTTTTTATTCTAATAACTTAATTTATTAATCTTTTTCAATGATTTATTTTTCTAAATCAACAGGTTTTTGGTCTCGCCTTAACGAATTTGGTTGTGCAATTTAATTGTCTTAATTTTTTTTTTGCAACATTTAAATTTACTGTTCAATGATTTACTTTTATTCTTCGAAACGCTAAATAATAAAATGATAAATGTTACTTATTTCTATTCACTTTATTCTTTTAAGGATTAATCATATTTCTCCTATAACTCTTTTAAATTTTGTTCCAATATTTCATTATAATTGATCAACTCCACATTTTTAATTTTAAGTTGTTTAATTTACTATCATAATTACTAAAATTAAATACATCCTGAAATTATTATTTTTCACTCATCATAATTTAATCATTTTATTTTCTTCTTAACTATTCTTCTTCATTTAATTTTTAATATAGTTCTTTTATTTAAGATTCTTTTTTGCTGTCCAGCTTTTAACTGGTTTCTAATTACGATTTTAATTCTTCAATTTATTATTTTTACTGTTTTATTAAATTATTACTTTAATCTTATTCTCGATTGTTTTTCTCTTCCATTAATTCAAGCTAAGCTTACAATGTTTTAATTTTATTTTCAAAATCTCTGTTTATTTCAAAAACTTAATCTAAATGATGCAAAAGTAAATCCATTTCTTCTTTTTTATAAGATAATTATTATTCCAACTATTAAATTCTCTCTGTAGAATCATATGTGTCTGATTTTCGAGTAAAATTTTAAAAATTATTTTAATTAGAATTTCCAATCATAGAATTTAATTCTTAAATTTACTTAGTAAGAGATAATGTTTTATATTGTGAATCTTTGGTTAGATTTTAATATGCAGCCTCTTAATTTATCATAGCTTATTCTAAATTGTCAGCCTTTTTTTTTATTTTATTCATTTACTCGACTAAAGTTTTATTTTCCTATACTAAAACAGCTATCTTTTATTCTAAAAATAAAATCGATTATTTTTGTGAACTAATTTAAGATTCTTTCTAAAATTAAATAGATGATATCATACATCTTGGCTTATTTTATTTATCTTATCTTCATACAATTATTACAGTTGTTGTTTTTCTACAATACTGATTTTTTGTACTTCTTCTAGTTTCCCATTTATGTGATGCTAAACCTAAATTTATTAACTTTATAATGTCTATTTGTGAGTTTAATCCAATTCAACCATCTATTAACTCAAAATTGTATTATGTTATTTTAACTCATTTATTAGTTATTCCTGTTGTCTTTATTTCTAAGTATATTAATTTATCAGTTATTTTGTATTGTTTTCATATTTTTCTAAAGATGTATTATAATTATTCTAGAGCTTTTCATATTCCAATTTCTTTTCTTCTAGTGCTTAATGATACATATTTAGATCATTGATTCTATCCTCTAAATATATTGGGATAAAGATTACATAAACTTTTTTAGATTTCTTTATTTTGATTTACTACATTATTTATTAAATCTTGCTATTTCTGATTATCTTTTTGTTAGATAGCTAGTTTAGCATTAAGATTATTAATAACAGCATCAGTTTCTGTTTTTAAAAGAACATATTATTATTTCCATGTTTACTCTAAACCATTTAAGTTTTCTTGAGCCTAAAATTTTATTGCTTATAAATCTCTTTAATGAGCTAATTAATTATTAGCCATGATATCATCAAATTATCGCTTATTATTTATTTTTTCTTGTTCGTTTAAAATAATTTGCTATTTTAGTTGCATGTTTTCTTTGAGCAATTACTCTATTTATTTTTATTGATCTTTTATTTTATCATTTGTTTATTGTAAGGCTACTTTAAGCTAAATAATTAATGTAATGATTACTTCATTTACAACTTATACTAAAGGCTATAGTTAAGCTACATTTCTTAATAAATCTACATTTTATTCTTTCAAATTTCTGTAGGTTTGATCACTAATTGGACTATTGGTTGGAAACAATTGAACTGGCTGAGGAAGTTATTACGGTGGAGTTTATTTTGGTAAAGTAGAAACGCTTTAAACCATTCTATTGTTAGGTGTTTAATTTGGTGTCTGATCATACTAGCTAGGAGGATATTACTGTTTAACACTTGGTGTCTATGATTATGATTATGATTATGAAGTTGATTCTTGTAATTTTCCGAGTCTATCTAGAAGTCTTGAAATATCACTAAGTTTTTAATCAAATTTTACTTTTGAAATTACTTTTAATCTTAAATGATATTTTAAACCTATTTCAATTTATCTTGCTCTCCATTATCTTAGTTTTCTGGTTGATTCATATTTGGAAATATTTGCTTGTATTTCTCATCTTACTCATTTTATTGACTAATGATATTTGTATATTAATACTCCTTATTGGGTTATTATTTTTAGATAAGAGCACTTAAGTTACTTAGTTTCTCTCCTATTGGCTTTCTTTCCATCAAAATAGGAATAATTTTGAAATAATATAAATAAATTTTATATAATCTGATAATTATAAAAACTATGTTTAATATCAAGTTTTTATCAGCATTTGAATAGAAATGTCTCCATCAATTTAATGATTCTTCAGAAATTTAATTTATATTGGTATGCTAATATAGTGAATTAAATAGTTTACGATATTGCTTACATTCAAATATTTTAAATATTAAGCTCATAAAATTCTACAATATATATTTATTTATAGCGATTAAATCAAATCGATGCAAGTTAAATAAAAAGTTCTTTGTTTTCATGGATTTGGGACAAACTCGGATATTCTTTCTTATTAATTAAGATAGTTCAAGAAAGAGTTCAAAGACATTGAATTTATCACACTAAATGGACCTATTCCATTAAATAGGAATGTAAAATTTTCTAAAATAATCAGATTATTATGGATGAAAATTTAGCTAAAATGCTTGAGAATTAGAACATTTATAGTTGGATGAGTTTTCTTCATATGAAAAATAATGATATGAATTCAAGTATTTTATAATGCAATATCAAGTTTATTCTCCCGCTTTTGAAGAAGTTGTGAAAATATTAAAGGAGTAAGGCCCTTTTTTTGGAGTTATGGGATTTTCATAAGGATCTTCTATTGCTGTTAGGTTGGCATCAAAAATTGCAGCTGGAGAGGTGGACTTAGGTTATGATCTATAATGCTTTATTTTTGTTTCAGCTTAAGTTAACCCCTTTGCTAACACAGACTCCAAATCTTATTTGTGTAGAGTTCCTTCTCTACATTTGATTGGAATGAATGATTTTTTAGTAGATAGGTATGTTTAATGAATAAAATAGATCTTTAGGATTAGTTGTGCAATTTCTAAATCCTTATGTTATCTATCATAATCAAGGACATAAAGTTCCAACTCTAACTTATGAATAAGTGAAAGAATTATAGAAATTCTTTCAAAATCCAGCTCAAGATTGGACAAAAACTGTGTATGTACCTCAATTAGCCAAATTATGAATTATAAAATGAAATGTTGATGGCTTAAATTATATTTGCATTTTAAAAAGGTTATAATCTAATTTGAACTTTTTAAGGGACAAAGATGTGTCCTTATAATTCATTTTATTTTTAAGAGTAAAAGTAGCATATTTTTTCTTGACAAATTTATCAATAAATCAGATTCAAGGTGTTATAATTACCTTTCTTATTAAGTTCTCAGTTTAATTCTATTTCAAATATTTTCAAATTCAATTGATAAATTGAAATTTTCATTTTCTTCAAATATTTAGTTATTATTATAAAAACTAGAGTAATTTAAGATTTTAAAATAAAGTAATGATCTTTAAAATAGAATGTTATTCTATTCTAACTTGTAATTTACAAATTTTACTTAAATATGAGATTTATTTTACAAGTTTTCGGGCTATAAATAGCAACAATATTATGTTTTAATGCACATAATTAGTGTTATAACCTATTTTTAGATTATGCTTATCAATTTGATTAAAAAGAAGTTGCTGAAATTAGTTCACCAAGATAATCTGTTTACTTAATGTTGAAAAACATTTGTTAAATCTAATTTTCATTTATTAATTTTTATTTAATGATTATGAGAGTGAGCCAATGTTGTTTCTAATTTAAAATTCCGGAGATCCATATTTTAAATTCATTATACTAAATTATTTAAAAAAATAATAACTATGGAAGTAAAATAAAAAGTTTTGTGTTTTCATGGATTTGGGACAAATTCAGAACTCTTATCATATCAGTTGAGATAGTTCAAGAAAGAATTTAAAGATATTGATTTTATTACACTTAATGGACCTATTCCATTAAATAGGAATGTAAACATTTCTAAAATCCTATAGGTAATTATGGATGAAAGTATAGCCAAAATGTTGGAGAATAAGAATATATATAGTTGGTTGAACTTTTTGTAATTTAAAAACAATGATATTGATTCAAGTAAGCTTAAATTAGCTATCTTAGTATTTTCTCCAGCATTAGAAGAAGTAGTGAAAATACTTAAGGAATAAGGACCCTTTTTTGGAGTTATGGGTTTTTCGTAAGGATCAGCCATTGCTGTTAGGCTAGCATCCAAAATTGCAGCTGGAGAAATTGATTTAGGATATGACTTAAAATGTTTCATTTTTGTTTCAGCTTAAGCAAATCATATTCCTGAAACAAAATAATTCTTATGTCGAATCCCTTCACTTCATTTAATAGGGTTTAATGATTTCGTTGTAGATAAGTAACATTCTTGAATAACCATATTTAGATCACTGGGATTAGTAGTGCAATTTCTAAATCCTTATGTAATATATCATAACTAAGGTCATAAAGTTCCTACCTTGACTTATGAATAGGTAAAAGATCTTAAAAGATTTTTTGAAAATCCCCAAAAAGATTGGTCAAAAACAATTTATGTACCTAAATTAGCGAAATTGTGATTTTATATATTTTTTTTTGACATATATCTTTAGTTATTTAATAACATAAAAAATTATTTATGTAAGATGAGAAAACACTTAGACAATACGAAATCGGTGCAAAAGTAAAGAATTTCATTCCTCAAATAACTAATTATTTAAAAATATTGCAAGATTTAGAATTTATTCCTTCAGATGGTACAAAATTAATTAAAAGAATTTCACTTCCCTAAAATTAAGCTAAAAGCGATAAACAATACCAATTTCATGGCACTAGAAATTCCATGATTACCTTATTGATGATTTGATATTAGGACTAAATTTAAATCTGCGTTTTAGAATCCTTAGTAAGTTTAACTAAATTATCTGCCTTTAGCTTTGAGATAGAGCACTTGTTTTGAAGTGAATCTATATTTGGAGTAATTATTTTATTTTTTCTTTAATTATGATGATGGACCTAAAAAACAAAAGTTTGGTTCCAAGATTCGTTCTTTTTATTGTGTTTCTTCCATGATTAAATTGATAGGTATTAAGGATATCATCAAATATTAAGAGTTCTCAGGTATCAACTAAATTTAATTATATTTCTAATTAATTCAACTAGGAACTTTTTTGAAGTAAATGCATTTTTGAATTATGAAAGCATTTATTTATAAAGAGAAAAGGGTTAAAATTAATATATTTATTCCAAAAAATTATGATTAATATAAGAATATTTATAATGCATATTATGTATTGTATTTAAATGTTCATTTGTAATGGTTGGTCCATGCAAATCTTTGAGTAGATTCATCCATTGTTCCTTATTTGATTCTCATAGAAAATACGTGTTTTGGTTTGCCGGTCAAGTAAATTTTTGCCTATTGTTTAGAATTAAGATAAGCATTAGGTAACCAATCAATGTTCTTAAATAAATACTTTATTTATTTACATCAAAAATAGCAGGTTTTAAAGGTATTTCAAGATATTAATTGTGATAGTATAGAACAGGTGTTTAATATTAGAAGAATAAATCAAATAGCTATGATAATAATTAAATAATACAGAAATATATTTTTAGGCCTTTACTAAACTTTCAACATTAATTGGTTTTCTTCTGATTTGGAAGTACACATAACCATAAAACCTAAAGAAGATTCCAGGTGGAGTGTAAGTTCCAGTCCTTTCAATTTCTGAAAGAACATCATTTACATTTACAAAAATACTTTACAATATTCTTTAAGAATTAATAAATATGAGTACCTTTCAGCTTCAAAAGCATGTGTGATTCTTTCATTTATCAATGCTCTTTTAATAGGATGCTTATTAATCTCATTCTCATCCTTCATAATCATTTCCTCTTCTGGTTTCTCCCATTCCTCAGGGTCAACTTCAAACCACTTCAAATCCCCATATATTGTATAATCAGCCTATATTTGTATAATTAGAAATAAATACAAGCATCTTCTCACTTGTTGGATCTCCTCTATATCTAAGCATCCTATCATTAACATCTGAAAACATTGTAATTATTTCCTCCTTTTTTTGCTCTTCGTTTTCAATAGATTTTTATCTCAAATTGTCAATAGTTTAATTTGATATATGGGTCTGTTTTGCTTTTGCTTCTTACTTCTATTATTATTAAGAATTTTAATAGGCAACATATCCGCCAGTACCCAAACCTACTATTCCGAAAAATGCTGCAAATATTTTCACAAGCTCAGTGTTTGAAGTACCTTATTAAGAGGACTAACTGAAATAGCTTTTAGAGGTTTTATTCAGTTATTTTGAGAGTACTAAATTAATCACTCAGATTTTCATACATTATTAAGATGCATTGGACATTCTACTATAAGACATTAACCTTTGGATCATTTCGATAGCTCTAAAATTATCACAATTAAAAAATATTAATAATAAGATTTTGAATGTTTTATAAGATTTATATCCCTAAAATTACAATTTTTATTTTGTTATAACACAATTTTATTATTAATATTATATACAATTATTATAGTAATTAGTTAATAATTTCTATAATTATCAAAAGCACTTATTGAAAAAGCAAAACCCTCCGCTCTTTTCCTTCTTATCATTTTCTTTGATGGGCTTCTAAAAGTAATAATAACAACATTAGTATACCTTTCCTTTATTTAACCCATTTGTATATGATGCTCTAGATTTGATGGACATATCCTATGATTCTTATTATGAGCACATAGTAGTAGTCACTGAAGTTTAAGGCTATTGGTAATTTTCAGAATTTTATTGATTATTTTTATACACTAAAGTGAATGTTTGACTTCCTGTTTCAAACAGAATTTATTCATTATCTAAACCTAGGCGAAGATAATATTTAGTTCATACATGGCAAATCATCTTTGGGCTACCCAGACTTTTTTGAAATTTTTAATACGTAATCACTTCCTTTTTTTGATCTAAAGTTCTCTCCTAAGTCATTATTTTTATTAAACTTACCTATCTCCTTTTAGAATTGACTAAGTGTGAATGTTATAGCATCTTCAACAGTGAAAATGTTAGGTAATTCACAAATAATTTAGACATATTTATCATTTTACAATGTAAAAAATGCATACTTTTTATTATAGAGCATTTATTATTCCTAAGTTTTCAAGTTTAAATTTACTTCATGCATTTAAGCATCATTTTTTGTAAGCTTCATTTTATTTAAATGATCTAATTTAGATATTTATTTTCTATATAAATACTTATTTTATATCACAATGAGAAAACGTGAAAAATTAATTATATTATCTATTTCAGTTTCATGGCTGATTAATACAACTATAGATGACAGATCTAATATAACAACATCCGATAGTGACCTAATCTAAATAAAAAAAGTTGAAGTTTTGCAGTATCGTAAAAAATGAAATGAAAAAACAAGTTAAAATATGAAACATTTAAAGGTTCAAAAATAAGAAAAGTCAAATCATTATAAAAGTAACATAATTGTATGAGGAAGAAAAGAAAGGAATATATAGAAAGTTCAATCAGGAATTTGAATCTTGAAAGGAGTCAATATATAAGATAGCGTAAAAAGAGAGGGAGGGAAGAGAAATATCAGAGATCAATGTACTTAAAGTAAAAGGAAGTTCTACATTTATAAAGGAAATCACAGTTCAAAATAGATAAATGTAGTAAGAAAATTGGAAATATTTACTCCAAATAATAAAGGTAGCTAATAGTTTTATATCATTTAATTATTACGAAATAACGTAAGAAAGGTAGTGATGTAAGTATATTAAATTAAATTTATAAGCGAAAATTTAAAAAGGAAAAAAGGAGAAAAAGAATACTAACATAAAAAGATGGGGAAAGATCAGAGACTAAAGGATCTTTACAAAAAAGAAATTAAGATTGATTTTTTTTATTTTATTAATGGATGCTCATAAAAAATGATAAAGTATAAATAGTATCGAGCTACTTTGAGTTTGTAATAGGAAAAAAGCTAATAGTTCAAGTATACAATCAAAATTTAGAAGAGGAAAAAAGAAAAAATGAATATAAAAATTTTCGGAAAATGTCCCTGTTGATTTGAATAGAAGTGATATCAGAAAGAGATCAAATTCCTTTAATTGTTATATGAAATGTACAAATATATGATATAAAAATGAATATTAATTTGAAATTAAAATTAAATCTTTTTTAATAAATTAGAGTAATATGGCAAATTAGGTTGAATTCAAATAACTTGGTTTCTTGAAAGGTCATGGTGATTGGGTTACTACTATCATAACAAATTAAGATCCAACTTTGGCTGACTTAGTCATTTCAGGCTCAAGAGACAAATCCATTTTAGTTTGGAAACTATTCAAACAACCTGATGGTGATTTAGCTGGTCAACCAAGAAAACAATTAAATGGACACTCTCACTTTGTTAGCGATTTAGTGTTGTCAAATGATAACAAATATTTATTATCTGCTTCATGGGACAAGGAATTGAGATTTTGGGATTTGGTTAATGGAACTTGCACACATAGATTCGTTGGAAATAAAAAGGAAATCTTTACATGCGCAATGAGTCCAGACAATAGATAAATTCTTTGTGGTGGAGCTGAAAGAAAATTTAAATTATACAATGTTAAGGCTGAAGAAAAACTCACCCAATAAAGCCATCTCCACTCTGATTGGATCAGCTCTGTCAGATACTCACCAATTATCAAAAATATCTAACCATATTTTGTTACAGTTGGTTGGGACGGTTGGCTTAAAGTCTGGAATTAAAATTTTACAATCAGATTCTAATTCAAAGCTCATGATTCTTAAATCAACAGCGTTGCCATTAATCCATCTGGTGAATACATTGCTACTGGAGGTAAAGACAAGAAATTGTACATCTGGAACATTACCGATTTGAAGAAACCCCTTTGAATACGATGCTGGAGGAATCATTAATTAAGTAAATAAAAAAATTAATAAATAGCTCGCTTTCCATCCTTAATAAAATTGGATCGTTGCCGCCACAGAAAATGGAATAAAAGCTTGGTAAATATCATAAGAAGAAAAAGCTGAAACCAAAACACCAATTGTTACCTTAGATCATCACACTGAAAGTAATAATTATAAGTTATCGTTAAGCTTTGGTTGCTGGCGGAGTTAAGAAGATCTAAAAGCATGGTGCTATTTCTGTGGCCCTTGATGCTAATGGTGCTAAACTTTATGGAGGCTTCACAGATGGATCAATCTTAGTTTGGGAAGTTTCAACCAAAAATTGAAATCATTATGTATATTAAAAAAATTACAATAAACTTACACTATAAATATGATTTTGATAAAAATAAGTAGAAATAGAATTATATACAGTGAAATTATTATTGGAATTTAAAGTCGCAACATTTAACCGATTTTTTTTCTTTATTATAAGTGGATCACAGATTCTCTGCTTTACTCCTTATAGTTATTTATAAACAATTAAACAACAACTATGCTGTTTCAGATCATCTTGCATACAGCAAGTATTCTATTGTAATAAATTTGCAATATGTTGATTAATTTAAAAGAAAAGCTAATAGCATTTTAATTTAATAGTATCTTTATAAACTTATGAATTATTATAAAATAAGAAAGTATGTTCAATCTTTTATTTATACACAATTATTATTTTAATCTAGCTTTGATCTTAAAAATAACTGTCTATTGTTGAATTAGGATACAAATTTACAGGCTAAAATTATTATTATCAATAGTTTAATTTCAAATTTAATTTTGGCCCTAAATCCAAAAATAGAAAATATCAATACAAAATTTGTTTGGCTTGCCATACAAATTAGACTTAGATGATTGTAATTGGAGTTAATGATCCTTCCATTTGATATAAATTGTTTTCGAAATAATTTATTCTATCGTTACAATCCAATTTTTTTTTACTCACTCCATTTATATTTTTCCTGAAATTTTGTAATTTTAGTTTTGCGTCAATTTGAATTCTAAAAAAATAATATCTTCAATTAGTTACTTCTAAATTAAAATAAAATTCTCTTGCAAGATTATTAACAATATATAATAATTTAATTGAGACTTAAAATAAATCAATAAATATCAAATTTAATTACAGTTTTAACAGATTTAGTATAACTTGACATCAGTAAATTTTAGTTTTTTTCTTAAATAGAGAAAATTATTTAGAATTATACTCAATCTTATTAATTTATTATTGATTATCCCTACATTCAAAAGTAAACTATTAAAATAGCATATATTTTATTTTTTAATAATTTTAACTTAATTTATTTAAATATATTAAAAACTCAATTAATTACTATAATAAAAATATTAATAGAAATTTAGAATATATTAATAACTCAATTAATTACTATAAAAAATGTATTAATAGAAAAATAGAATAATTTCTTTTTTAAAATGAATTGCAATTATCATCAAGATAGTCGAATAGAATTGATTTGTGTTGCTTCTCATAAATGTTAAAGGAAACTCTGTTCATAATGCGAACATTAAGAGGAATACAGTACCCATGACGCACGTCTTTTCGAACAATTTCATAAATCACTATTAAAATAATTAGATGAATCAAATTTAGAAGAGAAAAATGATTTCAAATAAGATCTGAGTGATATTGAAAGTATGTTGTAAAAAATTAAGGAAGAATTATCAAAAATAATAGCAGAGATATGTTATAATATTGATTAGAAAAACGAATATTATTTGAATGTGACAAATGAAACTACTAATCTAGCAGAATAGTCATATGTTAAATTAGAAGAATTGCTTGAAATTCATTAAGGAACATTATTAGATGATTGGAAATGCGAGAAACAATTTTATTTGGGCCAAATGAAAGACATGATACAATTTTCATAGAAAGAAATTACCACTTTGAGTGAAAGGCTAAATCAAAAAATTATTTGTTTTAGAGAATTTCAAAAAATTGGATAAAAATGTTTCGTTTGGAAAGAAGATTTGTATGAGGTTTTAGCTTTAACAAAAGATATAAACAGTAATGATGAAATATTCAATGTTATTCTTTAAAGTATAAAAAAATAAGATAAAACCCCTCTAGATTATTGTTTTTTTAATTCTATTAAAAAAAAATTCAAAGAAGAAATCAATTTCTATAATCACGATTTAACTGAAATTTAAAAGTAAACCAAATTGAAGAATAAAAACAATGATATTTAGATTATCGCCCATGTTATCAAAAATATTCGCGAACTTGAATTTTATAAAATGAATTATTCTTTATAGGATTTTTAAGAAACTAGGAAAATCCTAATTTAACAAATAGAAAACGATGAGAAGATTATGAAATTTTTAATATTTTTAGTAAAACTTACAAGCTTTGATGAAAAATTTATTTAATGTGGATCAAATTCACTTAATTTGTTAGTTGAGATGAAGGCTGATCTGAGAGGATAATGCTTTAATAATATTAGGATATAAGATACTTTATTAATAAGAGCTAATTTTGCAAGGTGTAATTTGAGTAATTCATAATTCATAAATGTGAATATAAGCGGAATTAATGTAAATTAAGCTTAGCTAATTGGATGTAAATGGAGGAACTTAAAAATAAATGAATTAATTAAATTATAAGGCCATAAAAACAGCATTTAATCAGTATGCTTCTCTCCTGATGGTAAGACATTAGCTTCTGCCAGTGACGATAAATCTATTATTTTATGGGATGTTAAAACAGTACAATAAATAGCCAAATTAAATGGTCATAGCAATCCTGTCAGATCAGTTTGCTTCTCTCATGATGGTGCTACATTAGCATCTGGTAGCGGATATCCTATATATAACTTTGAAAATGATTCTGATGATTACTCTATCCGTTTATGGGATGTTAAAACAGGATAATAAAAAGCAAAATTAAATGGTCATTGTAATTGTGTTTATTAAGTGTGCTTCTCCCCAAATAGAAGAATATTAGCATCTTGTAGTGATGATAGAACTATCCGTTTATGGGATATAGAAAAATAAAAATAAATAGCCAAATTAGAGGGTCATTATAATGGCGTCTAATCTGTATCCTTCTCACCTGATGGTTCTAATTTAGCATCTGGTAGTTATGATAAGTCTGTGCGTTTATGGGATCCTAGGACAGGATAATAAAAAGCAATATTAAATGGTCATTAAGATGATGTCATGTCAGTCTGTTTCTCTCCTGATGGAACTACATTAGCATCTGCTAGTAAAGATAAGTCTGTCCGTTTATGGGATGTTAAGACAGGAGAATAAAAAGCCAAATTAGATGGTCATTCAAGTTATGTTATGTCAGTCAACTTCTCTTCTGATGGTGCTACACTAGCATCTGGTAGTAGGGATCACTCTATCCGTTTATGGGATGTTAAGACAGGATAATAAACAGTTAATTTAGAGGCTAGTTCTATTCGATCAGTTTGTTTCTCACCTGATGGCTTAATATTAGCATCAGGTAGTTATGATAATTCAATCAGTTTATGGGATGTTAGAGTAGCTCAAGAAAATGCAAAAGTAGATGGTCATAGAAATATTTTCCAATAAGTATGCTTCTCTTCTGATGGCAATAAATTATATTCTTGTAGTGATGATAAAACAATCCGTTTTTGGGATGTTAAGAAAGGTTAATAAATATCCAAGTTAAATGGTTTAAATTAAAATTTTCAATTTATATGCTTTCCAAGTAATGGTAATACAATTGCATATATATGTGATGACCACTCAATCAATTTAAAGGATGTTTAGACAGAGCAATTAATAGCCAAATTAAATGATTATAATGGAACTGTGTTGTCAGTAAGTTTTTGTAATAAAAGTTCTAAATTAGCATCTGGTAGTGATGATAATTCTATAGGAATGTGGGATGTTAAAACAGGAAAATTAATAGCTAA